TCAAAGGTAGGAGTAGCACAGACACATACCACTCAGGAGGAATTTCGGTCTTGTTAGGCCACAGATAGGCACAACACACCTTCAAGCTACGTTTCTGCGTCACCTTTAGATAGGTATAGTGAGGTTTTCATCTAAATTGGAAGGTTTTAGGCAGAGCTGATGGGAGGCAGTGACCATGTTCTTCCTTCTGCTCTTAATCTGGGAATAACTGAGTAGCCTGGTGCTTTGCACATCAGAGAGGTCTCATGTGCTGCTCCCTTAGCAGGTGAAAGCCTCTATACAGGCACGGCCTGCATAGCACTCTTCAGGCTTACACAAACTGAAATTCTGTTTCAATGTAAAACTTTCACCTGTAATTTTTCTGTTGCATGTAACAAAGAGAACATTTCTGATGCAATACTCCCTGTTTTCTCCATACTAGTCACACGCTTAATGACCTGTGGTTATGTCTTCTAGGTTCTGGGATGAATTTGCTGAAGATTTGTGAAAAGGAATGGTCCAAGATTTGCCTTGATGCTTGTGCACCTGCATTAGCAGAGAAACTAGGATGGCCCGTGCCATCCCAGTCAGTCCTGGTAGGTTCCTGTCTGGAAGAGCTGTCTCTAGCTTGTCACTGGAAGAAACTGGGCTATGTACTGAAAGTTCAACTAGTGGAACTTTCTTGGCATGTATTTGTGTGTGTATTTGCATGCACACTAAACCTCAGTGCTCTGTGCTGGTTCCTCTCGTATTTCCAGGTGTGTTGTATATGCCAGAGCAGGAACAGACATCTTTGAAAATTAGTTGCTGGTGTCTGTCACGGTTTTCATCGTTGATCATCTCAGATTCCTGCATGCCCTGGGGTGCGAAAACAGAAGCTTTGACAGATGGTCCAGTGATAAGAATCTGAGTTTTTTCTTCCTGCCTGTGTGCCCACAAGCACCTGGTCACTGCAGAGCTCTGCACGGCATGTGTTACTGCAGAAATAAACCCAGCATTTGCATTTCTTAACAGTGACCTTGTTTTAAACCATTTGTAGAGTTAATGAGTTAGTCTTTATGAATAATTTCAGATATTTAAAGCTCCTCAGTTCATGTAAAAAAAAAAAACAGGGAAATCAAATAAAGCTGAATGTCTCTTAAAGTTGAAGTCAATTTAGCCTTACTACCCAGCACAGGAAGAGCTGTTGCTGTAGGTGCAGCATATTTTAAGAGTGTGCATGGCTATCACCTGATCCCTCTGAATTCAGTGCTAGTAAAGCAGCTAGCTTGTAATTCCAATGCTACTCATCCATAAAAGAGGAACAACATACTAAAAATCCTTACACATGCCCTCATATTTTTCAGGATATATACATATATTTCTCTCTCTATCTTTTACATTTCTTCTCTGTGGCAATCAAATATGGTTAAAATAAGGAAATTCTTTCCCCTGAAATAGTAGGGGCCATATGCTAGTATATGATGTTGTGATATTAATTAATGTTGTGATATTTATTAATGTTGTGTTTGCTTTTATGCTTGCATTGAATTTATAATCTCTGTGTGTTAATATTCAGGAACATGTGCAAAATAGATGGGTATATTTATGTTACTTACTATGAATAATTTGAGATAGTTCCAGAGTTAAAATGTTACTATTTACTTGACATGTTTCAAAATCTAATCTGAGGGGTATCTGTGAGGTTCTCTTTTTTTAAATAAAAAAAGAGAGGTGTTTCAAAATCTCTAGAATGTTTATGTCTTAAATTCACAAAGGTAATTGTCCCATCTACTCTGGGACTGTTAGTTTCTCTGTTACAGCACATTGTGTCTTACATTGCAAGGTTACTTTATAAGCTTTTTTTCACTGTATATTCTTTTTTTTTTCTTTAGGGGCCCATTTCTCCTTATTATATTAAGCGTTATGGGTTTAGCCCGGACTGTAAAATAGTAGCATTTACAGGAGACAATCCAGGTGAGATGATCAATGTGTAAGATTCAGTGGATATGATTATTTACAAGCTAAAACTCTAAAATCAATCTCATTAATTCTCAAGTGCTCCCTGTACACTTCAGTCACCATTAATACCTTTTTTCCAACAGCCTTACATCACTGTTTCTTCTCAGGTATAGAAATACTGTACAGGCCAGGTACTACAAATGAATTCCCTTTTGCCTCATAATTAGAGACAACTTCATTTACTTCTTGTTAATGTCATTTTGGTTTGTTTTCACCTAAGAAACTGTTCTTAGTATGAATTACTTCTGTTTTAAGTAGGAAAATGTGGATTCAGAAACTTTGTGGCTTGTCAAGCTGAAAGGTGGAGATGGGTCTCTAGATCACAGTTTAAGGGAATGTGTTAATATATGGTCAGTCTCGGGACTCCTAAAGACACAAAAATAAAATATTTATCCACAGTACAGTTGCATATCTAGGGTTAAAGTGGAGCTTTGTCACACTATCATCATGCTATATTTTGCATGTGTGTTAAAAGAGGTGGTTAAACTTGGAATTTCCCCAAAGTCTCATTTTTTTTCCCAAATCCCAGACTCCAGTCCAGCTTAGTGTGATAAATATGTCAGGAGTCTGACATAAGTGGGAGCGTCTGTGCTGTAAAGTGCCATGTTAAATAAGAGTCCACAGTACTTGGAACCTGAATGTGTAAAACATTGGAAAAATCTTGTAATTCTGTAGTTTTTTGTGTAGAACATTGTGATTCTTTACTCTGCATGACTCCCTTACCCAAACTCTTTTCCCCTTTCACAAAACCAACATGCCATTATATAGGCCAAGACCACCATGAAGCATATTTTAATTGAATAACTTTGTATTTGTTACTCTGACTCTTGCTTTCAGCATCACTGGCAGGGATGAGACTTCAGGAAGGCGATATTGCAGTAAGTCAAAACGTATTCCTGAAAAACTATCCATATCCCTGAATAAATGAAAGATATAAAATGTAAAATGGTAGCATGGACAAGAACCGTGGATTATCAGTGAAATTAATCTGTTAGTGCTGATTTTCTGGTTTTGGAATTCCAGCTTTTTTTTTTTTTTTTTTTTGTTCAGTTTGTAAGCTGGCTGAAAGATTTTAAGTAAACTCTGAATATTTTTAAACTGTCTGCTATGCATTTCACTGATGTGACAAGTGAGAGCTAGCTTTGGTATGAATCCAATTGACTTAATGTGTAATTTAAAAACAATTAGTGGTAATAACAAATGGTTTTAATTTAATTTCTGTATTGCTTTCCATGCACATTGTGATAAGGCTTCAATTATTTTTTTTCTTCTAGATTAGCCTTGGCACAAGTGACACATTGTTTCTTTGGATCCAAAAACCAACTCCTGCCTTAGAAGGTCATATCCTCTGCAGCCCCGTTGACTCTCAAGCATATATGGCACTTTTATGGTAATATAATCTACTTTTTGTACATCTGGGATCAATAAGATATATTTCTTTCTCTATGTTAGTGTTTTATGTCTTTTGCAAAATGATAATGAATACAACATTCAGCATTCTGTACAGTAAATGGCAATCTATAGTTGAAACATTTGCATCAACATTATAACACTCACATTGCTTCATTTGGGTAACTGCAACTGCAGAGTTGTGGAGGATAATATTCAGGGCAATAAAAAGATGAAATTAGCTTTTGCATACGTAGGGTCAATTCACTTTGCATCTAAGGCAATCTATTTAATGTACAGGAATAACAATCATCTGAAATACAATGATGTGAAATGTCAGATGCTTGACCAGACTCTGTAACTTCTGCGCTGTTCTAGTTCTCCAGAGGGGACATACTGGGGCAGGTGAAGATTCCCCTTCTCGCAGAGGAGGATGCTCAGTGCTGTTCAGAGACACATTAGGCTGTGCACGTGGAAAATACTGAGATCTCAAGAAGCCCAGCTGTGAGAATGGTCCTTATGGCAGCATTTGGTTGCTGCAGTTAGGGAATAGCATGGCCCCTAGCCAGGCAAATTGGTGGAAAGATGAGTAAAGCTCCCTGATTCACTGAATTTCAGAGGGGAAAACTTTCAAAATGGGTCTGACCATCTAGGCATATATTTACAAGCAATATACAGAAAAATTGGTGTCTAAATCCCCTGCACTGCACAGGAACCCACAATTTATTAGCAGGGGAGAGTGGATGGGGCCCTGCAGCCCTCTTTATAACTTGGGATCAAGACTTTTTGTTGCTTGGGAAGGTCTTCAGGAATGGGCAACACTTTAGTTGTGAATATGCTGACACAGCCCTCCTAAGGCTCTTACATACATACACACGCACATATATACATACACAAATATAAATATATATATATATGTATACATGCACACTATTTGGACTAGTACTTATTTCTCATAGTAACATTGTTTCCTCTAATCCAAAGTAAAAGATGTGTGAAATAGGTGCTTTTGAAGTCGTTTCAGAAGTGCAGATTTGATGTCATTAGTGACTAACTCAGCCTGCTTCCTCTGGTCCTGAGACTACCCCTTACCTTTAACATGACAATACCAAACTTCTTATGGTTCTTATGACTCACAACTTCAGCAAAGCTCAAATCTGCCTTTTAGCTGTAATGTACCTTGATAGGATCCTGTAGGTCACACTGGGAACAGCGCTAGTGAAGTTGAGTTTATTAGGGCAGTATCTTCTGATATCCGCAGTATCCAAACTGCTTTCCTTTGGATTTGAGTCCAGTGCTACAGTAAGTTGCAGGAGTGTTACATTCACAGAGGAGACCACGGAGGTGATGGCATAGAGGGGTGCCCAGATTATGGGCACTGAGCAGATGCATATTTTACAGACAATTTTAATTGCTGGGTTTTTGGATCACTAGTGCCTCAAAGCAGAGCCAGTTTTGGTCTAGCTTGGGTTAGGAGCCTTGGAACAGGATCATGCACATGCAGCTGGGCTGCTTTTTGCCAGATCCTGGCCCAGAGCTAGAGCTCATAAGTCTTACTGGACCCAAGCTGGCTCTGTGCCAGTGCCACATTCCTGAAATCAGGAATGCAACGTGGGGCCACTCTTGCTCCTCCTCACAGAGTCGTCTCTGGCTGAAGTTTTTAGCACCAGCTCTGCCAGAGTGACCTGTGGCTGCCTTTGCACCCACAGCACAGAACCTTCTCCCTCAAGTCATCAGCTCCATCTGCAGATGGAGCCCTCCAGGCTGCATCTGAACTGACCCTCTGGAGTATCCCAGCATCTCTGCCCTGTTCCTCAATGGGTCCCCATAATATTTCCATTCTTTCTTACCTCATTTCCTTCCCTCTCCCTTTCTTCGTGTAAGGAAGAGATGATTGCATCTTAGTTTGCACAGCTATTTTCATCTGATATAATAAACAGCAATGCTAAGTAAAACAGAAAATTACATTAAAAATCTAGGACCAAATGGTTTGGAAAATGCCTGTGGTATGTTTGTGTGTTTTAGTTTTAAGAACGGGTCTCTGATGAGAGAGAGGATCAGAGATGACTGTGCTGCAGGCTCCTGGGATGAATTCTCCAAAGCCCTAACGTCTACTGTTGCTGGAAACAATGGAAATTTGGGTATGAGCCTTAGCAAGGCTGGGAATTCCAGGGTTTCCTTAGACACGCTTGAAATTTTGTGGGAGTTACACGTGTTAATTGGGTCATGATAAAGTCCAATCATGTTAACTGGAGCAAGGAAAACTCCTGATGTGTACTCAGAAATACTGTCTTAGTAGGCTAAGTGTCATGATAGGATTTGCCTTTAATATTCAGTAAATAAGAAAAAGATATTTATGGAATGGTTTTGGGAATTGAAAGTCTTTTAATTGCCTCTTAGGAATAGAATTTTAAAGCTGGTGATTTCTGAAGGAGACTTTCATTAAACATTGCTGCTTTATTCTGAGGCCTCAAACCAAGTGGACTTAAGTGCCTCTGTATCCTCTCTTTCTCGGTCTTCAAAGGTTTTGATCTCCAAATGTTATTTTATGATCCTGTTAAGTGCAGGTGAACACAGCAGAGATACCAGTATCAAATGACATGCAGATTTTTTGCACTGTCCCCAGTTTGAGTCAGAATCTCATCTAGTTTCTTTTTCTTGCATTATGCTAAGTGAATCAAAATGAACGAAATGACAAAAAATATTAATAAACCCCTGTATTTGAAAATGTTTATTACTTTCTTTCCTAAAATTTAATATTTTTCAGGTGTGGTATATAGCTCTGGAATAAGTTGAGGTGAGGTTAGCCTGTTTGTAATGAATGTTAAAAATAAACCATTTTTGTGATGGATTTGGAATCATTACAATTGTATTAGGTCTGAATTAATATGAGTAAAATTAAATTAAAAGATCTGACCAGAGAAGTCTTAGAAAAAAATAGTTGATGAGAATATTATTATTGATTTCAGGGATGCCATTACCTTAAAGTTTTACATTTTCAGTTGCAGTACTGGCACTTGGAGAACTCAGTCCCCTTTAGGATGGGTGTTTCATGGCAGTCATCCTCAGTAACCTGCATCCTCAGATAACCTCTGGGTTACTTGAGAATGTGGTTCATGTGTAAAAACACAGCAAAATCTTAGTTCCTGAGGGAAGCAGAGCAGGGAACGGGTGAGACTTCCTCCCTTTTATCAGCTGTCCCCTGCCCTTCCTGTTGGTAAGAAGGTGCCACTGGAGGCTTCAGGGATTTGGAGATGGGCAGAGGCCTCTGCTAAGACAAAGTTGGGGTAGTGAGAGAAACAGGGCTAGGAAATAGGGAATGAAGAGCGATGGACAGATGAGGCTGCTGTTATGTGTGGGAGGCACTTGAGAAGATAGGAGGAAAACTTGGAAGAGGAAATGGGCTTGAAGGCCTCGTCTGCCAGGCGCAGTGGGGCAGCAGGGCCGGACAGGAGCTTTGAGTCGGGCCTGCCCTGCAAGTACCTGCACACATCCATACCCCACGCTGCTGCTGCCTGGCAATTAAAAACACGCTTGAAAAATAGTTAATATTTAACCTTAATTTAAGGTTATATATGCTAAAGCATAATACTATTCTTAGCTGTTGAATAATGTTCATAGGACAGTTACAGCATGTTCTGATTCCAGAGATGTGAACCTTAGAGACTGCCCTTAGTTCCTTCACTAATCTGCCAAGTTCTTGTCCTCCTTTTCTTCTGTTTTTTTTTTTTTTTTTTTTTCTCTCCTTTCTTGAATATCTTTTCTGACTGGTCCTTCTTGCTGTCAGCACAAAGAAAATCTTTTTTCACACTTTTGTCTAATTATCCACAAAACATTACTACATTTCTTCAGGTCTCATCAAACCTGTTCAGAGACCAGTTCTGCTTGTAACATCTGATGCTCTCTAATAAGCTCAGGAGATCTAATCTAGTGCATGAAGTGTCCCATTATTCCTATACTCTTACTACTGACCTACTATCTGTTCATTTTTTTCTTTCATCCTTGCATAGGATTCTGAGATTTTATTTCTAAGATTTGTTGTTATCTATGCTACTTGTGTGTATGTGGATGCTTGCTGTTATCTAGACTTGCTTCTTATATTGTTTGGATTTTTAATGAACTATTAAGCGTGTCTGGCTCCGGGCATCTTTTAGATGCACATCTTTGTAAACTGATAGTAATCAAATCAAATTAAATAAATACCTAGTCTGAAATTAAGTTAAGAAACAAGCTATGTGCTTTTTTGTGTGTGCAGAGGGAGGTACTGTACCAAAATGAAATGTGTTTTCTAATGAAGCAGGCTGAAAAGTTTTTTCCATGTAGATGGTATATGTTTATGGTGATTTTATCTATGTGCTGAAATAAGGATGCAACTCTCAGCTCAGTGAAAACATAACACTCTAATTTTTCTTGATACAGGTTTCTACTTTGATGTGATGGAAATTACTCCTGAAGCTGTTGGGATTCACAGATTCAACAGAGACAACCAAAAGGTAGTAATAACCTAATTAACATCTGAGATCTTGGAGGAGAACTGTCAAGGCTTGAAATCTTTGCCATTATCTTTTTCATCTGAGATATTTGCTTTTGAGTTTCATTTATTGATGCAAGTCCTTGGGATGATTTTCCTAAGGAATTATTTGGTCTGTAGCTTGAGAGCATCTGCAATGCGAAGTCTGAACTAGAACTCTAGGGTGGTTTTTCTATGAAATATTTCCTGTGCATGAAAACAGTTTTACTGGAATCAACACTGTTCCTGAAGCAGGGTCAGCTCTAAGTTTATTGAGAGCTTCTAAAATTGCAGACACACAGAGGCTGTTTTGGGCTATGTTTTATCTTACTCTGAAAGTGTGTGTAAAGACAATACCTCATTTTGCTGTTCTGCACATCTTTGGGTAACCCACAAGCTGTGTGGTGGTGTGTAAGTCCATACCCAAATGGAATTAAAGCAGAAATTTTGTTATGAAGAAGAAAGATTTTGTATCCTTTTTTTTTTTTCTTTTTTGAGGAATGGATGTTTTTTTTCAGTGTCTTTCCAGGTGGCACTGAAACTCAACAGATGTCTTCGATCAATCACGACTCCCAGTCGATTAGACCTCACTTAGATAAACAGAGATTGATGCTATCTTGTGTTTGCAGTGTAGTCTCTTAAATACTTACTGTTTAAATGAATGCACAGTCACTTCTTGCTGTTGTTCAAATTGTAGGCACTTACTGTAGGGCATGGAAAACCTCAAGTTTTAATGAAAGATTCCTTGTATTTGCTTTGTAGTTTGTTATTTTCTTACTTCTGTTGCCTCTCTGATATGGTGGTGGCAAAAGAAAAGTGTTATGCATAGCAGTTAAATACATTAATGAACAGATTAAGTGGTTACACTTTTATGCAGGCAGAAATAGATTTAAACCTTCCTTTGTGACATTGCCAAATGCATCTGCATTTTGTCCACTCACTTCAGTATTATATGCTTTGAAAACAGTTTCCTAAGCAGCCTTTGATGCTGAGGAATACATAGAGAAGAATTTACAACTAAAACTAGAACATCTTTCCGTCATGCACTGATTTTTAAGACTGAAGGATTTGCTACCAGTACCAAGGCTATGGGCTTCATTTTCCGTCGTGAGTCTTTAGGAGTACCTTGTGTGCAGGATTGAAGACCTGGGGCTGAGCTGAAATCAGGCTTCAGGGTGAAGATAAGGATAATGAACTATAAATCTGTTCTGTATTTCTAACCATTCTCCAGCTTGGTATTGTGTGCTGTATAAGGTGCATGTTACCATAATGTATTCCTGCTTTGATACAGGTTTCAAACTTCCCAAAGGAGGTGGAGATACGAGCATTGATCGAAGGGCAGTTCATGGCCAAGAGGATTCATGCTGAAAAGCTGGGATATAAAGTCAGTAAGTGTGATGGAAAAGCTGCAGATCTATTGGCACTAGAGATCAAGCAGAAAGATAGGAGTCTGGAAAGGCGTGTTGGTATTGTGATTCCTCTTCTTTCTGGTGTGCAGAAACTGGGATGAATTCTAGATTAGCTTCCCGGAAAGTTTTGATGGTAAGTTGGGGACAAGGTTTTGGCAGATACTAACTTTAGAAGGACGAAGGGTTTAACTTTTAAGATTTCTTTTTGCAAGCATTCTTGCTATTTCATTGTTATTGAGCTGCAGTGTCAATTTTTAAAAGATAGCTTAGGCTTCCAATAGTTTCATAATGACAAGAAAACTAGCCTGCTGCCTAAAACACATGACCATGACTCAGAAAATCTGAAACCTGTGCTTAATTCTTGCCTCTGCCCTAAGCTTACCTTTTCACCTTAGTTTTCTGTTCATAAAGCAGAAGTCCTTTCTCTGTCTTGTAATCTAGAAAACAAAAGTACGAAATATTTTTTTTTTACATACATATAGTAAAGAGCGGACTCTAGGAGCTGGAACTTATAAAATGTAGAGATACTGGGACAAATCACAAGGTCTGGCAACACCACCTTATAAATTTACACTGGAAAGTTTTTTCCTGTTACATGTTTTCTTATATACTTGAAACATTATTTATTTATGAAGACAGGCAGAGTTTGAAATAGGTCATGTTTAAAATACCTGCTAATCCTACTTTCTTAGATTCTGTTATTTCAACCTAGAAAATTCATGGCTGAAGAGGATACATTTACACTCTGTCTATATCAGGGGCTAAACAAACAAACAAAACCATAGTGGGAGGAGAACTAGCTAAGGTATAGGGCAACTCTAACACAAAGGTAAATGGGTAGAAATAACCTGTAAAAATATTTTGGCTAAGCAGGACAGCCAAAAACCTAAGTAGCTTTAGGATATGGCTTAATAAAAAATATTTTTAATACTGTAGGTATTAACATACAATAAAATCCATGGGTATTATCAACAGTAAAAAGGCAATGGGTGTGATTGCCTTGAAACCTTTGGTGCTGCTGTTCTGGTCTCAAGGGCCTTTTAGCTATTTGGTAACTAACAGATCAGTTGCTTTAAAAGAAAAAGAACAACTGTGCATAGTGTAGGCTGTCCTCATCTCCCACTTTTCCTTAGTGGCAGTATTTAAATGTCATCTTCTGTATTTGTGGAGCGATGGCAGCCCTGCATCTGCATTTGTTGTTTGACAGCTCGGAAAACAGGGTGTGTTTTGATCGTGTTTCAGGGTACTGATGGGCACTGTGGGAATTCCTCGGATGGTATCAGACTTTCTCTTGTTTAATAAGCTGCTATTTTTCAGACTGATTTTTTTATGTGATTTAAAGGCTTATTTATCTTGTGGATTAAATTCACAGTCAGAACAAATGTGCTTATTCAAGTCCGTTTAGGCCTTGTCTACATGGAGAATTCACTTTGATTTTTCCAGGAATCAAGCTGCTTTACATTCAGAAATATAATTAAAACAGTGTAAATCTTGCCTTTTTTTTTATGGTTACACCAGAGGGAGGATTCAGTAATAATTGCTTACAAAGTCCTGAAATGTAGAGGATGACTCCTATTAAGTAGATCTGTAACAGAACATGGTAGTGACATGATCAGTCACAGCAAACATTTTCCTGCGATATCCTGGGGTTTATGTGGTGCTGTCTCAGTGGTGCAAATGAGCCAGAAAACTGACTGCAAATTTCCCTAGGTGCCATAAAAGAGCATTTGTAGAATCATGAACCTGTCTTTCAATTCCTGAGCCAAATTCAGCTTGACTGACAGTAATCTTGAAAGCATAGGATAAACCAGAAAGCAGGATACATGGAAAAGAATTCTGTTAAAAAAATTTGTCTTAGGCTTCTAGGATATGCAATATGAACATTGCAAAAATTAGATAATCCCTTATAATTTGGTTTCAGTTAATGAATTTATTATCTTGCTAGTAGCAGTACTTTAAATCTCCTCTCTGGCTAGCGAGCTCTGCAGTAAGAAGTGTAATTAAGCTGAAATACTATTTTATATTTGAGGTTTTGTTCCAGTTTGTTGTGCCAATACCTTCATAAATTGCAAATAATAGCTTCAAAAATCTAAAAACAACTGCCGTGTTGATGCTGGGTTGTGGGTTTGAGCACAAATTTCAATTCTACTCATATGCCAGTAGAGGGCAGGGGACTCTGTCTCATTTTTTGTTGCTGCTTCAGAGCTGGGATGTGGCACAGAGGCACCGATGATCCTTAAGAGAAAAGTTGGACCTCAGACTAATTGTGATTAAAGGGTTTCCAAAGTGTGTGTCACTGTGTTATAATTGCTGTAATCTTTCTCCATCAGATTTCAGGGGAAATGAGGCAGGAACGCCCTCTATCCTGTTTCCCTTATTTACTTAAGGGATGCAGAGAGTGAGGCAAGGTTTGCTCTGCCCCTGTCGTGTACATACTCGAAGTCAGAGGTTCGTGCAGATAAGGTGAAGGTTTACTGTTTTCCCTTTATTTTCCTGGGTTTTGATTGTACCATAAACATCTTCTGGTTTGTCACTTCCTTTTTCCTCTTTCCCCCTTGGAAAGCTCAGCTCAGCAATTGGTGTTCAGAGCCTGGTGATACAGATGCACTTGATGGGCCCTGTTGAAACAAAGAACTTGTGCAACGTCTCTGAGGCCAAAACCACCCAGCTCTGTAGAGCAGGGACAGTCTCTGCAGCCCCTTGACTCACAGGATCACAGCAGCTGCGAAGCTGTTGGTGGTTCAAACCGAGCTGCCCATATATCCCATAATAATCTTGATGGCCACTTCAGATTCAACTCTCTTCCTGACCACGTAATCCTGAAATTCATATTGTTGCTGCCAGGAGAACATTTTAGTCCTTGCTTGGAGCTGGTGAAGCTGCCCTGGTGAAGACCTCCTAGTGATCCCTCTTGGGAGCAAATTCTACCCTTGCAAGCACCACTGGGTGAAGTAAATATTGCCATGATGGGTATTCTACAGCTAAAGGGAAGCAGTGCACAAGCAGGGCTTCTGCTTCTTGTGTGGGTTGCTTGAAGCTGTTGGCTCTGGGCATGGCTCTCTGTGAACTTGCTTGTGCCTTTCAGTGGGTCCATAAAGCTCCAGCTCCTGGTGCAGTGTCGGTGTCTTGTTCATACCTTTAGCAATCTGATTCTTACCACCTAAATATTGTCAGCAGGGAGAGAAATGGATAGAAGGAGCCAAGTTTTACAAGCTAAACTATTGTCCATAAAATCCTGCGTCTTTTTATTATGTAATTTACAGTTTGCTACGTACATAAATCTGTCGCTTGCAGTAACGCTCGTGCCCTGGGTTGTACTGACAGTCCTGAGTGCGTCAGTATTGGCTGGGGCAAGACAGACATGCCTGTGGTTTTACACTGGTGTAAAAGTGCATTTCAAGGGTGTGATAGAAAGATTGAGCATGCAACTAGATGCATCCATGAGCAGTCCTACAAAGAGGGAAAACAGCAGTCCTACAAAGATGGAAAAATGAGGAGGTGCCAGTGCATGGTGGGCCTGACTTTTCAGTGATAAGAGTGAGAATTTCTGTTTTCTAAAGATGTCTCTGTAAAACGATGCAAGGAGAGCAAACTCCAAGATGTGAAATGGTGCTTTCCTTTTTTTCTCTTCAGATATTGTTTTCATCTGAGGATATTTTCAGCAGGCCGAGGAGAGTAATAACTTGTGACTCTCCGGGTGCAGGAATGGCAGTGGAAGGAGAATTTCTGTTTTCTAAAAATATCTCTGTAAAACAACACAAGGAGAGCAAACTCCAAGATGTGAAATGGTGCTTTCCTTTTTACTCTTCAGATATTGTTTTCATCCGAGGATATTTTCAGCAGGCCGAGGGGAGTAATAATTTGTGACCCTCCGGGTGCAGAAAAGGCAGCGGAAAGTGCTCAGAAAATACTAATCAGGGTAA